CTAAAAATGGATTGTACAGAAATATTTTCAAGACTCGACGGGTAATTTTTACCAGTTTGCTCTATTCAGGAAGATATTTTTAATGCTCATTGAACTGGATGGACTGGATGGATTGCTTGCCTGATTGGGGACAGTTTAACAAAATCGAACTTTAAGGGTGAAACGGCAACGGAGGCGGCTTCACCAATAGCTGGTGCACAATTAAAACCACGTACTCAGCGAGGAGCATCAACACCGAAAAGAATCACCATACGATCTAAAGTAGGAAACAACTATCTACCATTTGCCGTTTTTGATTTCATGTTCTAGCCAGTTGAATTTATTTCCGATCCCATCAGTCTGCGCTCCATGAGTGATTGAATGCAATGCAAAATTTGTTTGTACCACCAAACTTACCACCAGTCTAGCAACGAATTTAAATACGATCCAATCTTCATCAGATTTCCTCTTTAAGAACGTTTTGGATTTGCATTTTGCATACCATTTTGAAATCGCTTCGAAACATTATTTAAAGGAGCACACTCATTACTTTGCTATCATTTGATAGAGTTTTGACAGCGACGATGTGCGGCGAAATGCCGGTTGAGTGATGAAATTTTTTGAGATTTACATATTGCAGTAAGGGCAACCCTGCAGTATTTGTGTGTTCATGTTACCAAATTTAATATCTAAACGATCAGCTCGAATCGTAAAAACGCGATATTCTGCGATTGTGAATGCATTCGGTTGAATACTCCAAGTGATGCTGTGTGATATGTCATGATTTCACATTTTTTTAATTGCTCTATTAGTTAGCAGTGATTAATTGCACACAGTTTTAGCGGACTGACCATGAAAGTAGTGGAATGGTGGACATGAGTGCCGCACAAAGTATACCCTTCTGCCCAGTGCATAGAACTGATTCGCCTGACGCATGTCAAATGAAGGTTCTACCGTTCATTGTTGATGTATCTTACTGAGTCAAATTTCATTCGTTCATCAGATTTAGATCTCAAGCTCATACCTGTTCCTTTAGCGGATAAATTTCAAGATGATGAATAATCCGCAAATAGAGATTATGCGAAATGATATCAGCTCTTCATTAGAGTCATCATGTCAATTGAGTTTGTTGGCATGGAGTGTTGAGATTGCGTTAAGGATGTTGAATCCAATGTGATCTACTGATTTGTCAAAGTGATCTGCCTTGTTTGGCTTGTAATCAGTTGTCCTTTCAGAGATTTGTCTTACCTGTCGATTGCAACAGAAAGGTATTCGATTATCCAGTAAAAGCGTGGTATAATAATCGCGCAGTTACCTTTCCCGGAAAGGTTCATTTTTAAATTTAACTGAAATTTTCCTTATCTCTTTTCTCAATGTACCACGCAAATACTTTTATTCCATCAAACAAAAACAGTTTTCAGCTGAAAGTTTACCGATTGCCCGATGAGGACGGTGTTGATGTGAAGCTATTGGTCGATACAAAGGCTGTACCAGATGCGGAACCACTGTTATTCTCAGCGCATTGTCCAAATTGGCAGCCGAAACGTGTTTGGATAAACGGAAAGTTGTGTTCACAATAAAGATTTACTGATGGGAGTTGATTGATTGATTCGGATGTTCAGTTTTCTTATACACCGTGAATGTTGATGTGCAATGAAATAAACTTCTTATCATGATTGTCATTTATTAAAGTTTTAACTGTTATCATGCCCACTTTTAGCAGTTAAGATGAAATGCATTGTAAAATACTGATTTTTGCTCTGAACTGAAATGATTCCCTATGTTTGACATAAGCTGTGATGGAATACAGTGAATTTCTCGTTTTTACGACTTTAATTGAATGGCGTTTCGGAATGAAAAACGCACTAGTCGTCTCGGAAGCTATGGAATAGTGAGCAATAAGAAATTAAATTAGTTATTGTCAGATCCATTTGCTCAAAACAATGGACTTCGACTTCGAGCGCCGACGAGGCGGGATTAAACTTGTGACGAAAAGTGAAAAAATACTTATATCTATCAAATATCTAGGATGTATAGAATTATCGGATTAAGAGTTTATGGGCGCATGAATGAAGGGATCTAAACAGATAAGATGGGATAAGCCAATAATTTGGATTAGAGATAAGAAGGATTGGATGGTGTTGAGTAAGTAAGGAGCTTTTATTATTCATTCGATATTCTTGAAGAAATGATGACATATGAGCGAACAGAAGATGAAGGCAAAAGGAATTTCGCTCATGCTTTTCGTTCATGTTGTGCACGGCCTTGACAGCAAACCAAAAAACAATAATTAAATATTCAGATGGACAAAAACCAAAATATTCCGATGGATTTCTGAATATTGCTCATAGTGAACCATAGGACATTGAAGCACATCATCGTAGAAGTACATATACGATTCTGCACACATACGATTGCGCTTTTGAGCTGTAGTGTCTTTATTTGATGAACATTAGCAAGTGCCTGAACGAATACTCATGTCAGTGAATAATAAAATTAATTGTGTACTAAGCATATTTCACCTACAAGTTGAACAGCTTGCTGGATGGACTCAAGAAAGTGCATTATTGAGCAGTCGTATTATTTTCTCATT